TGGCAACGGCGCCAGCAGAGGTGGCAACGGCGCCAGCAGAGGTGACAACGGCGCCAGCAGAGGGGCAATGGCAACGGTGCCAGCAGAGGCGGCAATGGCAACGGCGCCAGCAGAGGCGGCAACGACGCCAGCAGAGGTGACAATGGCGCCAGCAGAGGTGGCAACGGCGCCAGCAGAGGTGGCAATGGCAACAGCGCCAGCAGAGATGACAACACCGACAGCACCAGCGGAGGTGTCAATGGCAACAGCGCCAGCAGAGGTGGCAATGGCACCAGCAGAGGTGGCAATGGCAACAGCACCAGCAGAGGTGGCAATGGCAACGGCGCCAGCAGAGGTGGCAATGGCAACGGCACCAGCAGAGGTGGCAATGGCGCCAGCAGAGGTGGCAATGGCAACGGCACCAGCAGAGGTGGCAATGGCAACGGCACCAGCAGAGGTGGCAATGGCAACAGCGCCAGCAGAGGTGGCAAAGCATGTGGATTCACAAAGATTTATCTTTGAATTATAAAGCAAAGCATGTGGATTCACAAAGATTCACCTTTGAAACATATAGCAAAGCATGTGGATTCACTAAGATTCATCTTTGAATCATAAAGAAAAGCATGTGGATTCACAAAGATTCACCCTTGAATTATAATGCAAAGCATGTGGATTCACAAAGATTCATCTTTGAATCATAAAGAAAAGCATGTGGATTCACAAAGATTCACCCTTGAATTATAATGCAAAACATGTGGATTTACAAAGATTCATCTTTGAATTATAAAGCAAAGCATGTGGATTCACAAAGATTCACCTTTGAATCATAAAGCAAAGCATGTGGATTCACAAAGAATCACTTTTGAATCATAAAGCAAAGCATGTGGATTCACAAAGATTAACTTTTGAATCATAAAGCGAAGCATGTGGATTCACAAAGATTCACTTTTAAATTATAAAGCAAAGCATGTGGATTCACAAAGATTCACTTTTGAATTATAAAGCAAAGCATGTGGATTCACAAAGATTCAACTTCATTCAGAATTATTGCAGAGCAAATCATATAAAATATCCCAACAAATTGGAATGCACCTGGAATGATCTCAAGGTGCAACCTCTTTGACAGTGAGACACAAGCTCTCACAAAATATCGTTCACATAAAATTGCTTAAATTTCTTATCGATGAAAAAAAACAGTGTTACAAAGGGTCACTTTTCATGTATCCCTTTTATTACAAGGTTCTAAAACAAAGATAGAATT